GGCTCTGGGCTGGAGAGGGGGAGCAGGCAGAGCCCACCTGGATGCAGAGAGACTGGGGTGTGCTGGGCTGAGGGAAGCCAGGCCTGAGGCCCTGAGAGTTTCCTGTGCTGTGTTCAACTCTCAATAAACCCTCCTGTGTGACGCTGGCTGAGAGTCGCTCCGGGCTAGAGAACAGGGCGGGAGGAGGGAGAGGGGATCAACCCCTTCGGGGGGTGGAGGCCCAGAGGGGTCCAGAGCGAGGGGACTCCCTGAGGGGGCCCACGGCAGAGACAGACGTGCTAAGGCTCAGAGAGGTGCGGCTCCAGGAGGTGGAGGGGCCTGACCCCGAGAGAGAGTGGACCCCCGAGAAGGGCTGTCGCACTGAAACGGGCACCCCCCATGGACCTCACGGGGCCAAGAGTGGGCACGATCTGTGAGTCCGTGACAACGTGGTGTCAGAAGTGGGATGGTTCGCGGATGCACCCTGTGGACGTTGGCTGCGGGCGCAGGCGCTTTGCAGTGAGTGGCTGCCAGCGATAGAACGAGGGTATTGAATGGAACCAGCCTGGAAATGGCCTATACCCAGCTCCGTAAGAGCGACCTGGCCCGTCTCTGCAGGGAGAGAGGGCTGAGTGTGGGGGGCTCACTAAGGAGCGGCTGATTGCTCAGCTTGTAGAGAATGACCCATCTAAGGCGCAGGCTCCAGACCCCAGGGGGGCTCCCGGGGTGCCCGGAGAGCCGGGGGGTAGCCGGGGGGGCAGTCTGTGTAGCGACCGGGAGTGGGTCAGACCTGACTCCCCAGTCAGCACCGGGGGGCCCCAGTCAGGTTCCTCCCTAGAGGAGCTGCGGAGACTGGAGCTGCAGCTGAAAGCAAAGGAGCTGGAGCTGGAGGAGCGGAGGCTGGTGGACAGAGAGAGAACGAGCGGACCGTGTAGAACAGCGGAAGCACGAGTTGGAGATGGACGAGAGGCGGGCCAAGAGGGCCTGCCACGGGGTAAGTGGGGAAGGGCCCCGAAACGCCAGTGGTGTGGGGAATCTAGACACCAAACCGCTGCCCCAGTTCGAGGAGGGGGGGGATATTGATGCCTACCTCACAGCCTTTGAGAAGGCTTGTGAACTGAACCAGATTGACTCCGCAGACAGGCTTCGCTGTCTGACCCCCCGGCTAGGTCCCAAAGCCATACAGGCATTCAGCCAAATGGATGGTGTTGAGACGGGGGACTCTGACCTGTTCTAACAGGCTTTGCTGCTGAAGTTTGAACTGACCCCCGAGGCGTACAGAAAACGATTCCGGGGTGTACGCAAGACCCCAGGTGTCTCTTACAAGGAAGTCACCAACCTGCTGGGGGAATATCTCCGCAAGTGGGGGAAGGGCGCCGGGGCCACTACCGCAGAGGATGTGTATAACCTGGTGGGGTTGGAGCAGCTGTATGACATCTGCCCTCCGGACCTTAAGATGTGGCTAGTGGACCAGAAGCCCAAGGATCTGCGCAGTGCAGGGGCACTGGCCGATGAGTTTGTGGACAGTAGATCGGGGGCAGGAGGGAGACCCACATCGGGGACTCATAAGGGGAATCACCCAGAGACCTCTCAAAGGTGGGACTCCAGGAAGCCCAACTCGGGGGTGCCCGGGAATGCTGGGGCGGGGCGACCCCCCTCGTGGGACTTGAGGGACCTGAAATGTGATTACTGTGGCCAAAAGGGACACAAGGTGGCACAGTGCCTGAAGAGGAAGGAAATGGCGGCCAAGCAGAACCCGCGGGGTGTTAACTGGGTGGAAGCCCACCGGGAGGGGGTACTGCCAGTCCAGGGGCTGCAGTCGAGAGGGCTGGGCCAGGGGGAGGGGACCGCCAGGCCAGGCCAGCAGGGGAAGGCGGGGCCCCAGGTCCAGAGCACCCGTACCCAATCCGCCGGGTGAGCGTGGGACAGGCCCCGGGGGACAATCGCCACATCATCCCCATTGAGATGCGGGGAAGGAGCGTCCAGGGGTTCTGGGACATGGGTGCAGTGGACTGGAAGCCCAAAGATCTGCGCCGTGCAGGGGCACTGGCAGATGAGTTCGTGGACAGTAGATCGGGGGCAGGGGGGAGACCCACATCAGGGACTCATAAGGGGAGTCACCCTGAGCCCTCTCAAAGGTGGGACTCCAGGAAGCCCAACTCGGGGATGCCCGGGAATGCCGGGGCGGGGCGACCCCCATCGTGGGACATGAGGGACCTGAAATGTAATTACTGTGGCCAAAAGGGGCACAAGGTGGCACAGTGCCTGAAGAGGAAGGAAATGGCAGCCAAGCAGAACCCGCGGGGTGTTAACTGGGTGGAAGCCCACCGAGAGGGGGCACCGCCGGGCCCAGGGGCTGCAGGTGAAAGGGGCTAATGGCAAGCCGCTGAGTCTTCTCCTCCAGGGTTATGACATGGAGGTGGTCCATGTGAGGGGGAGTGCCAATGTTATAGCTGATGCTTTATCACGGAGACGGGGCCCTGAACTTCCCCAGGTCACTGGCTAAGTGACCCTGCTCTGTTCAGCCTCGAAGGGGGAAGAGATGTGACGAAGTGGGGGAGATTCCTGGTTTCCTTGTTTCCTAGGGTTTTTTTTTTCCCTTGCTTTTCCTATGGTTTTTATGCAGAGGGAGTGGGACTCAGTTTCCCTGGGGGTTACCGGTTTAACAAGGTGATGGGAGAGGGAGTTTGTTGTTCCAGAGGACCGGCGAGGGAACGTGGGGACCCAGCCAATGACCTGGTGACCCGGAGGCCCAACTCAGGAGTCACAGCCAGTTCTGGCCGGTGGGGAAACAATGGGCTGCGAGGACCCCCGGGGACCCGATCAACCGGTTCCAGCTAGAGGACCCTGTTTCCCTGGAAAGAAGACAATGGACAGAGGGCTGGTGATTTCAGAGGCCCAGCTGGGAAGCGGGGGGGGGCGCTCTGGGCTGGAGAGGGGGAGCAGGCAGAGCCCCCCGGATGCAGGAGAGACTGGGATGTGCTGTGCTGAGGGAGGCCGGGCCTGAGGCCCTGAGAGTTTCCTGTGCTGTGTTCAATGCTCAAAAAACCCTCCTGTGTTACACTGGCTGAGAGTCACTCCGGGCTAGAGAACAGGGTTGCATCGTCCCCTTCGGGGGTGGAGGCCCTGGGGAGTACCAAGCGAGGGGACTCCCCGAGAGGGGGCCCACGGCAGAGACAGACGTGCTCAGGCTCAGAGAGGTGCGGCTCCAGGAGGTGGGGGGGTCTGACCCCGAGAGACAGTGGACGCCCGGGGAAAAGGGCTGTCTCACTGAAAGGGACACCCCCCACAGACCGCACGGGTCCAAGAGTGGGCACGATCTGTGAGTCCGTGACAGATGGCACAGCAGGTGGGTGGGTCTCCCCAGTGGGTGTTGGGTGGGCCCAGGGGCTGCGGGTGCAGCGGGGGCCCCCCCCGGGCAGCGGCTACTCACAAGGGGCCCCGCGGGTTGCGGGCAGCGTTCATCTTCATGCCCTTGATGATGAGGATGGTGCCTGCGATGATGCCGATGATGCCCACGGCCAGGCCCAGGGCGCACACCAGGGTCTCTGTGGTCTCGGGGACGGGGGTGGGCACCTGGACTTCTGGAGAGAGGGGGAGAAATACAGGACATGGAGTGAGGGCGGCTGTTCCCACCTTCCCTTCCAGAGCTGGGATAGAACCCAGGAGTCCTGGCTCCCAGCCCCCCCTGCTCTAACCCACTAGACCCCACTCCCCTCCCAGAGCCAAGATAGAACCCAGGCGTCCTGGCTCCCAGCCGTGTTCCCAGCGGGGTCCCCGGGCGCCCCGGCCTCACCCCAGTGCTTCGTGAAGGGCTCAGGCAGCCCCCAGTGCTCCACCCGGCAGTCGTAGAAGTCGCCCTGGCTGGGGAGGAAGGGCAGGTAGGAGAACTTGCGGAAGGAGTCGTCCTGGCGGGGGTAGAAGTCGGTCTCGGAGACGCCCTCGGTCACCTCCTGCCCGTTCTTCAGCCACGTCACGCTGAGCACCGGCGGGAAGAACTTGTCCACGAAGCAGATCAGGATGTTGGGCTCGCCCAGCTCCACGGGGCCTTTGGAGAACACGGTCACCTCAGGGGGCACTGGGGAGACAGGGGTTAGTGGGTTCCATTGCCTGCCCCTGAGCCAGCCAGTCCCCGCCCTGGGGCCAGATCGGGGGCAGCGCCCCATAGAGGGGAAAGGCCCCGTGCCCCATTCCCCACCCCCCTGAGCCAGCCAGTCCCTGGTGCTCACGCTCCTGCTCAGGGGTCTCTCCTCAGGACTGTGGGGTGTCACAGGGGTCGTCCCAGCTCCCTGCCCTGACGGCTCATGGGGCACCAGGGGCAGGG